GTTTATTAATTCATTCATTGATGGACACTCAGGTTGTTTCCAAGTTTTTGTTATTGTGAATAGTGCTGCCATAAACATGGGTGTGCACATATCTATTTGTATCACAGCTCTCATTTTCTGTAGAATATATACCTAGTAGTGATATTGTACTTTAGTCTTCAAAAGAGAAGGTATAATCCCACTCCTAGGTATATCCAGAGCTCTTTATAGGTATATATAGACTAAGGTGCACATGACCCAAGCCATGGTAATTTCAGTTGCCTCATATTCATTTGGAAGCCAGATAATGAGTAAGAAAGAATGAAAAAAAATGATGTGTTTGAATCATGGTATTGGTGAAAAATATTGAAAATGCTATGAACTGCCAAAAGAATGGCCAAATGTGTCTTGGAAGAGATACAGCCAGAATGCTCCTTAGAAGCAAGAATGGCCAGACTTCATCTCATGTACTTTGGTCATGTTGTCAGAAGGGACAAGTCTCTGAAGGAGGTATTAGGCTTGGTAGAAGGGAGGGTCAGTGAAACAGGGGAAAGACCTCAATGAGATTGACACAGTGGCTGCAACAATAGATGGGCTCAAACATAGTAACAATTGTGTGGATGGTGCAAGACAAGGCAGTGCTGTGTCTGTTGTGCATAGGGTCACTTTAAGTCAAAACTGACTTGGCAGCACCTAACAGTAACAACAATGGGATTGAAAGATCTTATGATATTTCTAACTTTTTAAGGAAGCACCATATTGTTTTCCACAGTGGTTTTACAGCCCCACCAGCAGTCTCTCCACATCCTCACCAGCGTTTGTTATTTTCCGAACTTTACTATGAATGCAGGGGTGAGATCATTGTTTTGATTTACATCTCTCTAATGGCTAATGATCGTGAGCATTTCTTCATGTGTTTGTTAGCCCCCTGGATTTCTTTGGTGAAGTGTCTATTTTCTCTGCCCATTTATTAATTGCATTGTTCGAGATATTGAAGTTTTCTATAAATTTTAGATTTTAGTCCCTTGTTTTTTATGTCATTGCCAAATTTTTTTCCCAGTCTGTAGGTTCTCTTTTTACTCTTTTGGTGAAGTCTTTTGATGCACACAAATGTTTAATTTTTAGCAGGTCTCAGCCATCTAGTTTGCCTTCTGCTTTTGGTACATTTTTAGTTATGTTTGATCATGTATTTATGCCCCTAAGTTTAGGGCTTAGTAAGTATTAGGGGCTTAATTATTATAGCCCATAAGTTTTCTCCTATTTTCTCTTTGATGATCTTTATAGTTTTAGGTTTTTCATTTAGGTCTTTAATCCATCTTGAGCTAGTTTTTACATGATGAGAGATATAAATCCTGTTCCATTTTTCTGCAAACAGATATTCATTTTGCCGTTACGTTTGTTAAAGAGAGTATATCTTTCCCATTTAATGGATTTTAGGCCTTCGTCAAAGATTAGTTATCCACAGGTTGATGGGTTTACTTCTGAGTTCTCAATTATGTTCCACTAGTCTATGTCTCTGTCATTGTACCATTACCAGGTTGTTTTGACTACTGTGCTTGTATAGTAGGTTTTGAGATCAGGGAGTGTGAGGCCTCCTACTTTGTTCTTTTTCTTAAGTAGTGCTTTGCTTATCTGGGGTCTCTTTTCTTTTTGTATAAAGTTAGTGATAAGTTTTTCCACATATTTAAAGAATGATGAGGGAATCTGAATTGGAGTTCCATTATATTGGTAGGTTGCTGTAGGAAGTATTGACATTTTCATAATATTAAGTCTTTCTATCCATGAGTATGGTATGTTGTGTTGTTGTTATGTGCCATCGAGTCACACCCGACTCATAGCGACCCCTCCTTGGGTTTCCGAGTCAGTATCACTATGGAAGTAGATTGCCCAACCTTCCTTCCGAGGAGTGGCTGGTGGGTTTGAACTGCCAGCCTCTGGTTAGCAGTCAAATGCCTTAGGCACTATGCTACTAGAGCTCCCTGAGTACGGTGTGGAAGTATAGTCTTCCATTTATGTAGGTTGCTTTTTTCTCTTGTAGTAGTGTTTCAGTTTTTTTTTTTTTTTTTTTTGTATAGGTCTTTCATATCTCTGGTTAGATTTGTTCCTAAATCCTTCATCTTTTGGGTGACTTGTAAATGGTGTTTTCTTCCTGCTTTCCTTTTCAGAGTTCTCTTTGCTAGTGTAGGAGAATCTGACTGATGTTTGTATGTTGATCGCGTAGCCTGACACTTTGCAGAATCCTACTATTAATTTCAGTAGTTTTCTTTTTGAATCTCTAGGATTTTCTATGTATAGAATCATATCTGCAAATAGATATAGTTTGACTTCTTTACCAATTTGGATGCTCTGTATTTCCCTTTCTTGATTTATTGCTGTGGCAAGCCCTTCCAACATAATATTGAATAAGAGTGGTGATAAAGGGCATCCTTGCTTAGTTCCCATTCACAAGGGGAATGTTTTCAGTCTCTCTCCATTGAGAATTCTGTTGGCCAATAATTTTGTGTATATACCCTTAATTATGTTGAGAAATCTGCATTCTACTCCTATTTTACTGAGCATTTAAAAAAAATCAGGAATGGTTGTTGGATTTTGTCATATGGCTTTTCTATATTGATTTTTTTATAATCATGTGGTTCTTTTCCTTTGCTTTATTTCTGTGATGGCTTCCATTAATTTTTTTCTCCTAATTTTGAACCATCCTTGCATACCTGGTGTGTATCCCACTTTGTCATATTTTTTGATACGTTGTTAGATTCTGTTGGCTAATATTGTGTTGAGAATTTTTGCATCTATGTTTGTGAAGCATATTGGTGTACAATTTTCCTTTTTAATGGTTTGGTTGCTTGGCTTTATTATTTTATTTTATTTTTAATTGTGCTTTAGGTGCAAATTTACAAAGCAGATTTGTTTTACATTCAGCACTTCATGCACATTTTGATTTCATGGCCCTGATGATCATACCCAACCATAAAAAACTCTCTTCCCTTCTCCTCCCTGAAACTACCCTCTCCCTCTGCCCTTCTTACCTATGCATTCCTGTCTTTCCAGCTTTTTCTCTATGTGAATGTTGCCCCTATGATGTCCCATGGCTGGTTGATCTACGGAGAGCATCTCCCTAGAGTAGGTGTGTACATCTCCCTGGGGTTGGAGTTCAGCTTGTAGGCCTTTCTACCATTGGGCTGAGAGCCAATTTATGGAAGTGAGTCCATTTCCAGGTCTGAGGATAACCCATCGTCATAGTGTCAGAGGTTCCACCAGTCTCTATCCAACCAGTAATTTTGGTCATTTTTGTGTTTTTGAATTTTGTTTCACATTTTCCCTCCCTGGATCTCCAAGTTTGATCCCTCTCTGAGTGGTTGGCATTGGTAGCTGGGTACCATCTAGTTCTTCTGGTCTCAGGATCATGAAGGCTGAGCTAGTTCTTCTGGGTTCATGGTCATGAAGGCTGATTTCCTCATGGTGCATCATATCTTAGGACTAATTGTTTCCAAATGACTTTGATTTTCTTCAGTCTTCTTTCCTCCAGACAAGAGAAGACCAATAGCTGAATCTTAGGTGGCTACTCAAAAGCTTTTAAGACCCCAATCACTGCTCTTGGTTGCCTGGTTTTAATATCAGGATTATACTTGCCTCAGACAATAGGTTCAGGAATATTCTATCCTTTTCTATGTTTTGGAAGACTTTGGGTAGAATTCATGTTAGTTCTTTTCTGAATGTTTGATTAAAATGTGATGATTGTTTTTTAACTTTTTATTCTGCTGTGAAACATGCACAGGGAATTGCATAAAATAAAAATTGGAAGTAGCAAATAATTATAAAATGAATACTTTTGAACTATTACCCAAGTCACATATTTCAGCACCACAGGCACCCTCTGTCTCCTTTCCTGATCCCCTATCCCACACTTCCTGGATTTTCTTTGTAGCTCTACTACTTTGTATGCATCTTTAAACAATATGGCATAGTTTTACCTGTTTTAAACTTTTTAGAAATTCAATAACATCATGTGTATTTTGTGTTTTACTTTTATCATTCAACATAGTGTTTGTGGTTTCATCCACATAGTTGTGTACAGCTGTGGTTCTTAATTTTTATTGCTGTGCAGTAATGCTCCATTATATGAATATGTTGTTGTTGTTTTTTGCCATCGAGTAGGCCCCGACTCATAGCGACCTCTCCTTGGGTTTCCGAGGCAGTGTCACTACAGAAGTAGCATTGCCCAACCTTCCTTCCAAGGAGTTGCTGGTGGGTTTGAACTGCCAGCCTTCTGGTTATCAGTCAAGTGCCTTAGGCACTATGCTACCAGAGCTCCTATTATATGAATATACTACAGTTAATTTATCTATTAATGGAAGTTTGGTTTATTTCCAGTTTGGGGCTGATGATAATGCTTTTAATGTTGTTCCCCATGTGCGTGAGTTTTTCAGGGTATACAGCCAATAATGAAATTGTCTAATAATACATGCATGAAGACATTATGTACCATACAATGTCAAACTATTTTTCAAAGTAGGTGTAGCAGTTTACATCCAACCACCCAGGTTGAGAATTCCCATTGCTCTGCATCTTGGCCACAGTATGATATTGTCAGACTTTAACTTTTTACCAACAGGATTGATACGTAGTGGTATTTCATTGTGGTTTTAATTTGTATTTACTGTTTGGAAATGAGGTTGAACCCCTTTCCTATATGTATTGGTTATCTTGGTTTCCTCTTTTGTGAAGTGCTTGCTGATTTTTCTAATGGATTGTTTGTCTTTATTATATTTCTTTGTAAAATTTCTATATGTATGCTGAATGTGTCCTTTATTGACTGTATGTGTTGGAAAGAACACTATACCATAAAACATTAAAAGTTATAAAATGCAAAATATGTTAACACACTGAAGATTTATTGATTATATTTAGTTTTTACTCTTTACCTAAGTGCTAATGAGTAAGTACAAACAAAATAGTTTTGAAAGACAAATAATTGTGTGTAGTACTTAAAATTAACCCTGTCCTTCCCTTCTTCTCCCCAGGTGTTATTATTGTCCCCAGTGCTGGTGTTGGTATTGTCCTGGGAGGCTACATTATAAAAAAATTGAAACTTGGTGCAAGAGAATCTGCAAAATTAGCAATGATCTGCAGTGGTGTATCTTTACTGTGTTTTTCGACCCTATTTATTGTTGGATGTGAAAGTATTAATCTAGGAGGCATAAACATCCCTTACACAACAGGGTAAGTACAGTTGATGAGCCATTTCATTTCATTATAATTTAAGCAAAGTACTGAAGTATTTATATACCACTGGCTCTGGTAGAGTAGTGCCTAAGGCATTTGACTACTAACCAGAAGGCTGGCAGTTCATACTACTAGCTACTCCTTGGAAGGAGGGTTGGGCCATCTACTTCCATAGTGATACCACCTTGGAAACCCAAAGAGAGGTCTCTATGTGTCAGATCCAACTCTATGGCAGTGGGTTGGGTCAGACTTGTGCCTACCTATTGCCCAAATTGTTCTCACTGTGCTTTGAGCCTGATTGCACACTTGCATGGCAGAGGTCATGGTCTCTCATTCTTCTGTCTTTTTCAATTCTTATAGAGTGTCTTCCATAGCATTTTGATTACAACAGGTGTAGAGAAAATTCTTGATGAATCAGTGAAAACATTTCTTTCCTAAAGTAATGTTTTGAATAGGTAATATAATCACATAGTTTAAAAAACAAATTCATTGAAAATACAGTGATACACAATGAAAACTCTTATGTTACCCACATTCTCCATCCACCTTCTTTCTCTGCCTCTCCTCACAAAGGCAAGCAGGGGACACTATTTATTTATTTATTTAAATGTACTTTTGTTGTGGTGAAAACATACACACCAAGGCATTCATCAACATAACATTTACAGGTCAGGGACATTGATGACATTTTTCGTGTTGTGCCACCATTATTGCTATCTTTTTCCAACATATCCCATCAATGCACAGGGGACCACTTTTACTAAATTCTTTCTTATTTCCAGAGTTACTTTATGCAAACATAATAAATTATGAATATATATTTTTAATTTTCCCTGTTTTATATCCAAAAGATAGCATTCTATACAAAATTTTATGAACTTTCTTTTTGATTTTTTTTTTTTAAGTAAAATGTAGCTTAGAGATTTTTTTGTATCAGTAATAATAATAAACAGAATCCTAGAAAAACCAAAATCACTGCATGGAGTTGGTTCCAACTCATAGTGACCCCACAGGCTATAAATCTTTATGGAAGCAGACTGCCCCATCTTTCTTCCACAGAGCAGCTGGTGGATTCAAACCACTGACCTGTTGGTTAATAGGCACATGCCTTAAGCACTGCACCACCAGAACTACTTAATGAAGAGAACAGATAATTTATGTGCTAGGGATTCTTCTAATAGCTTTATATGTATTAACTCATTCATTTCTACAATAATCTCATAAGGTAGATGCTGTTATTATTCCAATTTTCTAGAAGTTAAAACTGAAGTAAGTACATGTCAAAGTTAACCAGTGGTGTCCTGATGAATGTTTAAAAAATGGGTCTCCAAGAAAAATTTTGTCAATCTGTAGCATTTGCCAATTTTTGTGGTGTAAATACTCCCACCATAGTCAATTTCAAGTTGCCAACATGAAGACACTGAACATTGAGTTGGAGGAAATTGGACACCCACACCATTGCATAGTATTTCCATCATATAGACATAATAGACATAAATAACCTAGTATATAGATACTATTAGATACATTAGGAGCTCCAGTAGCATAGTGCCTAAAGCACTTGACTGCTAACCAGAAAGGTGACAGTTCAAACCCACCAGCCACTCCTTGGAAGGAAGGTTGGGCAATCTACTTCCATAGTGATAATGCCTCGGAAACCCAAGGAGGGGTTGCTGTGTGTCAGGTCCGACTTGGTGGCACATAACAACAACAACAACAACAACAACATTAGATACATTGTTGTTGTTACTTGCTCTTGAGTTGGCTTTGACTCCTGGCAAACTTAATGAAACATTGCCCAATTCTGTACCATCTTCATGATTTTTGGTGTGTTTGAGTCTATTATTGGTATGTTTAAGTCATCATTAGATCTATATTAGACATAGAAAAGAGTAAAATAATTAGAAGGTGATGTTTTGAGTCTTTATTATCTTTGTTTTTAATATACTTAATAGTAAATTTATATAATTCTTAATAATATCTGTACTGTAATTAACAAGTACTTGGCAGCCTCCAGCCTAGTGCTGCAGAGAACCTAGGACTTAACCCCAGGCTGTCTGGCTACATAAGCCAGGCCTGTAATCACTGCTTTTTAATCATGTTAAGGCATTCCATTTTATTCCATTTTGTAATTTAACCAGTCTCTAATTGATGGCCAGTTGGATTATTTCTAATTTTTAGTTATTGAAAACCATGTTGCAGCAAATAACTTCATGCATTTATTATTTCTTTTGTGCTCTGTTTGTTTGTAGGATAAATTCCCACAAATGGAATTGTAGTAAATATTGACAAATTGCCTCCACAGGTGTTGTACCAATTTTTACCCCCAGCAGCAATATATCTGAATTCTGATTTCTCCAATGCTTTGCCAACAGAAGGCAAAGAACTCTTCTTTGATAATTATATAAACCTTAACTTTTATTTTTTATAAACAAAGGTTTAGTGAGGAGCCACTTATTCCACAGGACTTCACTGCCAAGTGTGTGGTGCTTTAGTTTCCTTTCTATTCTTGGTTGGATTTTATGTTATAAAACACTCCATTTGAAATTTGACTAAGAAAAGCTTCAGCCTAGAATGCCAACCTACAATGTTACAGCAACCAACATACCAACTAACAGATATCAAAAACTTATAAATCCAAGTTTATTTAGATTATACAATACAGTCATTTTTCCTGACAATTATTTTTCTACCAGAAAGCAGGCTGTGTGTATGTGTGTAAGGTGACAGCATGTATGAGGTATGTGATATAGGAAATAACCTTTAAAAAATTGAAGGACAGTACAGAATAGCAGTAAGAACTCAGGCTCTTGAGTTGAATCTGAATTTGAATATTGCCTCTGCTTAACCATTTTATTAATTCTAAGCCTCAGTTTGTAAAATGAGGGTGATGATAATAGTACCTACTTAGACTTTGAAAAGGGAATACATGAAGGTCAATATCCTAGGTATTAGTGAGTTGAAATGGATTGGTATTGGCCATTTTGAAACAGCAAGTTACACGGTCTATTATGCCAGGAATGACAGATTGAAAAGGTGGCACATTCATGGTTGCAAAGAACATTTCAAGGTCTATCCTGAAGTACAACACTGTTACTGATTGGATAATATCCATATGCCTATAAGGAAGACCAGTTAATATGACAATTATTCAAATTTACAAAGCAACAACTAATGCCAAGATGAAGAAACTGAAGTTTTTCCCAACTTCTGCAGTCTCAAATTGATCAAACATGTAATCAAGATACATTGATCATTACCAGTGACTGGAGTGAGAAACTAGGAAACACAGAATCAGTAGCTGGAAAATATGGCTTTGGTGATAGAAACAATGCCAGAGATTGCATGATAGAATTTTGCAAAAACAACAACTTATTAATTGCAAATATTGTTTTTTAACAACATAAATGGCTACTACACACATGGCCCTCACTGGGTGCAATACACAGGAATCAAGTCAACTATATCTGTGGAAGGGGCTGTGGAGAAGCTCAATATCATCAGTCAGAACAAGGCCAGGGGTTGACTGTGGAACAGACCATCAATTGCTTATGTTGTTGTTGTTGTTGTTATGTGCCGTCGAGTCAAACCTGACTCATAGCGACCCCTCCTTGGGTTTCCGAGGCAGTATCA